TCTTCCCCTTTCTGGAAAAAGAATCACCAACATTTCAAAGAATCATCAATTCACCCGCGAATTCCCGAGCAAAAAATGACTTTCGACCTTCCTTTCTACTATATAAAAAAACCGACTTTTTAAACATCGAATTTCTTCGGTTGTCGCCAGTGAGCCAAATTTCTTCCCAATGAGCTCAAGAATGAAGCTTTTTGAGGAGCTCCTTTCTTGCCGTACAAGTGTTTGCCTCCTAAATCGGTCTTTGCTGGTCCCATATCCTTTCTTCTCTCAATCTGATATCACATTGCAAGAATCTCAGAAACACTTGTCTAAGTGACATATTCAAGATCCAAGGAAACTACTTAAAAGACGCAGATTAGGGGCATATGATTTACCTTGAAAATCTTTCCATTTTTCAAGTGGTATCTAATTCCAGACCAGTTTATGGATTGCGAAAAGTGAGAACGGAAAGCTGAGATCGGGTATAGGAAGTTGTCCACTAGCATTGCTATAAATACCTGCAAAATTTTCCCCCAATCAAATCAAAAAACTTTACCTCCGTATCTTATCATCACCACAACTTTAGACTACCATTATTGAGATTTATGATCTAATAAAGCGGGTTATAAGCACGTACAAGTCCCCAATTATAAGTTGCAAGAGAGAGACGAGGAGCCTCAGGGGATAGCATATTGCATAGCTGAACTTCTCGTCTTGTCAAATTCCACATTGAAAGAAGTTCGATGAAGGTGCAAGTCGCCAACGTTATAACAAGCAACATACCTACATAGAAACTCATCCTTCCAGGTCAGTATGTAGCATAAGAAAAACATACAATCCTACAGTTTAAGTTGAAGATGACAAATCACTATGCTTCCACATGCAATACAACTTCTAAGATCCCCCCCAACACACGAGCAATCATCGTGACACTAGGATAAGTTTCTCTTATCTTGAACACAATACCCACCTAAATAAGAGAAAAAGTATGCTCACCACCAGAAGCAAAGGTAGTGTCTTCAAGTTGATTATAGCCCTTGATGTAGATTCTTAAAGCTGATGTGACGTGAATGATAGCCATAAGATATGGTGCAACAAAACCCCATGAAAGATAACAGTGGACGGCAAACAAAGCCTTGTTCATTATCCAGTTAACTTTGGATATGTAAGATTCTAGCACAAAGGTTTGCTTTCTCAAGTAGTTCCAGTACCTAAGGAAATAGGAAAATAGTTAAACATCTGAAACCTCTGGGTTCCAACAAGTAAAATATGAATACTTACCGTCCAAAACTTAGATCACTTGCAAGAGGATGTGGGAAAACAGCAACAGGAGGAGATGTAATGAGCCTCTTGTGAGCACCTGGAGTGAAAAAGGTGAGTCGAAACAAGAAGAAACTATCAACTACACATCAAATAGGCATATCATGCTGCAAAATGGAGGAGAATTCGGAAGAAAATATTACCTGCTAGAGAGGCAAGTGTCATATCATCTGAATATCCACCATCTCGTAAGCCAGAGACAACACCGTACCGATCTTGTCTGAAATCATCAGCATGCATCTACAAATAGTTGCAAACAATCAGCAAAATTAGATGTAGCCATAGAGAATACAAAAGAAACATTAAGATACCATGTTATCTACTGACCATCATACACCCTCCCCACAAAAAGAATGTTCTCCCGCCGGTCGCAAATCCCATTGAACAAGGCTGTAAAGTGAACATGCCAAATATTAGCTCAAATTACATAGTAGGGAAGCCAGAGATTACATTCAAGAAAAAACACAGGTGGAGGAAGAGTAAAGAAGGGCAACAGATTTCACAGTACCATGTGGTACTCATATATGCAATAACTCCCAAGAGTTCCAGAGGGCAAGTCTAGAGGATACCCAGTTTGAATAAATATCTGCAAGAGATCACCATTGCTGTTAAACAATTGAAACCGAAGGAAACATAATCAAGGGCCTATATCATTAGCCATGTCTACGATATGTAAAAAGAAATAGAAAGCAGGAGAGTCTCAGACAGAAAAATCGTGAACTATATAGTTTGGGTACCACCTCTGGATTCTTCTCCATCTCGGTCGTGAGAGCTCCGATTGTTCCAGGATGCAGTCTAACATCATCGTCCAAAAATAACACATATTTGGTATCTTTGTGCATTTTCTCAACTCCAATCTTCACAAAGTAGAAACCAAACGTACACAAAGTCAGCAAATGCCAAAATGAACAACAACATAAATGTAAAACGTATATTGGAATATAGATGTGCTTGTCATGGTTGTAATTATATTCTAACCAAGAACAGTTACAATGGAGGGAAGAGAATATTGAGATAATGGAATATACACTAGTGTAACCAATGAAAAATATTAAATTTGCATCAAACATCATAAATACCAACTGATTATGAATTTTCTGGCTGCAAGTCGTTGATAAACCAGCAACCACAACCTTAGCTTCAACATGATCCTGTGCACATTTAGGCATTGATATGAACAAAATTTCAAGTCAAGAGAAAAGAATGCCATATAAGAACTATGACTTGAAATTTTTGTGGACAGTACTTTCATCAATCTCTCGTTGATAACAACCAAAAAGATACGTTGGAAACGTGTCTATACCTGATACATTGACAATAGACGGGAAACAGCGTGATATGCAGGGTCTTCAGTACTTTCTACAACAAAAAGAAATTCCAATGGCCCACCATAGAGAGAAGTAATCTACACACACACAAAAATTGACCAAGATGATTAACAACAAAGTCTGGAAGCAAGAACTCAAAAAAATCCGCCACGAAAAAGAGACGATGATACTGCAACAAGATGGACTGACCTGACTTCTCCAATTATGCAAATTGTGTTCTCCAAAACCTTTTAGAGGCATGACAACGCTAACTCTGGGAAGTTTAACCTGCCTAGAGTGCTCAAGCTCATTGATGTCTTGATATAGGAACGCCAAGCTATTCCCTGCTTTCATGCTGTTTCTAATTCTCTTAACCTCTCGGTTCCTTAAACATAGAATTAGAAACACACACACATATCAGAACAAAAGAAAAAAAAAAGATGCAGACTTTAATACCCCAAAAAGCATCAAAATCAAAACATTACCTGACATATGCAGCCATTAACCATCCTAGAGCAAGAAGTAAGCATATCGTACATCCCTGTGGCATATAAAGAAAACACAAAAGCAAGAAAATTCTTATCATAATAATCAAATTCCCAACAAGACAAGTCAAAGGAAATTATAGTTATATAAACGATGTATCTTAAATTTTCTCAATTTTGGATGATGACGAATCGAATCATAAGATTGTTTTTTGAAGCTGACCCATGAATCAAAATCCATAATTTGAAAGAGAAAGGGACCAAAACTTCGATCTGAACCGAAAAACAAAAACTCACCTGGATCTGAACGAAGACAGCAAAAGGGCTACAAAAAGCTCTGCTTAAAGAGAAGAGAATGGCATCAATGGAGTCCAATGTAGACATTTCTTTGCTCCTACTTCTTCTTCACGTTCCCCTTCCCCCCACGACGACGACAATTTTAAGGATACGAAGAAGAAGAAAACAGAGGAAAACGGGAGGAGCAAAAATGGAGAAACCCTAGATTTGAAATAAGCGCAATTCGTCGTCTCTCAATCTCTCTCTAACAAACATCGAAGCAAATTAGATTCGTGAATTTTCTTTCTTTCTTCAGATCGCCATTGACGGACCAGCGAAAATCCAGAGAGAAACTGATTTATAAATTCAAAAGGAATCACACAAATCACCCACTCAATCATAGACACATCCCTTTTTTCTTTCCTTTTTTTTTTAATTCAAAAATCAAAATTTACTATTTTAATTTTTCAATTTAAATATTTGTTGGCATTATATAATATTGAGATTTTCTTTTTACAGCAAATCCGAAGTTTTTTTTTTTTTTCTTACTAAGGAAAATTTATTCTATCATAAGTAGAAATGTTTTTTTACGCGTTAAGATATCAATGTGCATTTAAAATATTTTTCTTATCTACTAAGCAAACAATTTCTAATCCGCGTACAACGTGTTTATGTTTTTTTTGTTGTTGTATAGAATTAGAAACATATTTCTAATTTGGGTTAGTTGTCCACCTTGGAGAAAATTTGATGTCATAAATGAAATAGTCATATTTAGCAAGTGTGAATCGAATTTTGAACTAATATATTTATCTTTTGTCAAATATATTTTAAAATATCTAAAATTGGGACGAAAAATTAATGATGAAAATATGAGATCGCTCTATATTCTAAATTTAAAAGAAAATAAAAAAGTGTTAGGTATTAGGCGGATTAGAAACACATTTGCTACTAGCTAGTATGAATTTTAACTACATATAATAAAATATAGTTTTAAATTTTTAATAGATCTCAAAATTTAACTATTTATTTATATAATCACATGATCCAAACCAAAACTCAGAGTTGACTTTGGAGCATGTAGAATGTAGAATATTTTTTCATTTAAATATCCATAATATCTAATCATATAATTTATGACTGAAATGC